GATCAGCAAAGGATCAGCACAACACGGAGAATCGTGTAGTGGTGAATCCTTTGAGCAATTCAGTTTATTCATTAGTTTTAGTCTCACAATCCTAATTTAGATACAATCTAAATACTACTACTACTAAAACAATTCAGTACACGTTATTTCGTGCACATCATTAGCTCAGATTGCTGCATTGCTGTCTGCTGAATGAGTGTTGGGGCAATCTCCATTTTGTGGTGGCTCTTGCTTAGTGCTGAATCCCATCCAAGTGGCGGACCCCATAGTTCAATGTACGTTGGCAGGTGGAAGTACAAGAGTCTCTTGATAATGTTGGTACCCATCCCCCCTAAGGCACATTTTGAAAATTTGTTTAACAAATTGGTTTATCACATGCCCCATTTGTTTCCTCATCCCTATGGTTACCCTACCGTGTTTGAGGAATTCCTCCATGGACAAGATCCATTTGGTTGTTTTTACCTCTTCCTTGCCAAAAACTTTGTCACCCAAACAAGTTGTAATGCACTGTTTGGAAGTCATAGCTAAGAGAATGCAGATCAGGATTCCAGAAAAATCATGGCCCTCTTTCCTTTTGTCGTTAAGGATGTTGCTTCCAAATTTTGTTCTGGGAAGGTCACGATCCAACTACCAAGACAACAAACCACCATACATTTGTTCAAATATTCCTATCTGTTGATGTTTCTTGCCACTCCCACTGAAGTTTGACACATACTACTAGGGTGTCTCTATGGACCCCAAAATTTGACTCTTGAAAGCCTCCATTGCTCTTTTGTCAACACCTAGCTAGTGCATGTGCAGGCATTCAGCTGGAGATGCCAGATTGATGCTGTGATCATTTGCTCCAAAATCTAGGTCGTGGAAAACATTGTTGATGGAGTGTGGGGAAACCATCTGACACCTCTCCTTCTGCTGGCTTTTTGTCACCCTGGGCAAAAAAATGAAGTCCTCTGGTCTCCATAATTCTTGTCTATGTTGCACCTAGGGGTTGCAAATGTCATTTGAGGAGTTGCATTTACAATCTCTGTACAACTTCCTTATTCCCCTTCCTCTTCCCTGATATCTTCCACACAGCCTGTTGTACATCTTCTTAGTGTCACTCACAATGTATGCCTCACTAAATTTCATCTGGACCTTCCATTGTTTCCCAACAAAAGCTAGGTACCAAAATCTTGTTCAAATTCAGTGCACACTTCTTGAGCCATGACTGGCGCTACCACAAACCATGATGCAGCTGTTCTATGATTGAATCATTGGTTATCTCTGGATTGTTGATTGGATATGTTGGATTGGTAGAGTTGGGGAAGGACAAGAAGTTCTTTTCTACCATTAGATCCTGGCAATTAACTAAGGGGAGAAGGGCATCTTTGAAGGGGCAGAAATGTATCCCCCTTTTCTATGGACCTGGAAGCCATGGAGTTGTTGTCCTCAACTTAAATATGTTTCTGTGCTTGGTTCCTAGGTTTTTTTCTGATTTCTTTGAACATTGCTAATTGCTTCACACAGGTCCAATCTTGGCACCAAAGTTGAAGCTATGTTTGTTTGTGCTTCTTACTGCCCCCCAATTTCAAATGCTGGGAAACTCTGATAACGGCATTTTGTGTTCCTTCAACAAACACATCAGTTCAATCCCAGTCTTCAACCACTGGGGTCTTAGAGCAATGATACTTGCTCTAACTCTCCCTTTTGTCTGTTCCCTATCATTGATAACCACTTACACATCCTCCCTTTCATGGTTGTTGTAACAAATACTCCCCTCCACATTTATTTGCACATCCACATCATCTAAACCCTTGTCTATGTTCAGACCTGTGGTGGGACCACTTGTGTCACCAGGTGCTTTATCACATGTGTCGTTTTCACAATGTCAGTCACCATCCAAATTCTGTGCTGTGTCCAGAAAGCAGAAACATAGCAAAAAATCCAGGCAACAAAGATCCCCCTTGCCCAAACGTTGCTTCTTCTACCAACAAAACATCTCAAAAATAAAACCATGCAAAACCAAACCACTTAAAAAAACAGACAAACAGCATGCTGGACCATACAGTGTCAAAACACAGGTCACCGCGTTACCATTCACCATGCACCAAACAAGGGAACATTGACAGCACCCTTTGTGTTCACAATCTGATCCACTTTCATCTCAAAAGCAGATGTTTTTCATAAACATCCTTGCCCTTTCAAACTGAAACAACCACTATCACCTATCACTCAACTACTATAGCATTGCAATATCTAGAACCCACTGATACCCTGTACCAGTGTGTTACCAATGCAGTCAGAGATCTCTCAGCAGCTGAGAGGGTAGCCGTTATGGCAGCCCTACTTTCCCATTGCAGGGTGAATTTTGAGAAAGCAGACTACAATGCTGCCTGTGTCACAGATGTTAATGCCATCTCTAACTTCTACAAAACTTCCTGTTTGTTCCAGCACCAAATGTATGATTGGTGGAGGAGCAAAATTGGCCACTGCCCCATCAGTATTCTGAAAGCTGCAATGGTCCGTGTCATGGAACTGCTAGAACCACTCTACCAGTACATCACAGAAAGTACCAAAAATTTGTCTGCATCTAAAAGGAAAAATGACATGGCAACCCTAGACCCGCTGTTCAGCAGTAACAGCAACTTTGATTTTCAAGACCTTAAAACTGCCTTCTCAAAGGCACATGCAGAAATCTATGATGAGTTTGAAGGTGAAATATTCAAGTTACAAAACAAATGTATGGCTGGAGAGCACTTGGGGCCACTCCTGTACAGACGTTGTTGAGGCCATTGTACATGTCCTGGAAAATCACTTGTACAATATGGTTGACTCATACGAGTACAACTCATACAATTCAGACTGTTTGGTACGTGGTATATTTTAGCATACATGTGTACCTATACTGTTGGTCAAGGGCCATTCAAACCAGTACCAAATGACCCTGAAGAAGACTCTTAATGACCCCTTAACACAGCACACTCAGTCTTAGTGTCTATCACCAACACACTGTGTATGCAGGGGAAGCTTCCAGCAGCAGTTGGTTTGTCTACTACACACACTTCTTTTTCACCTAATCTAAAACACCCTTATCACACCCCACAACCAGCTGCTCTAAGACATCAACACCATGGTGTAAAGGCGTTATTCATATCTGCGAAGTCTTTAGTGTGTTGTACTGTTTGCATATGTTATCATGAGATTGACACCACACTAACTCACTATTGTATAAATGTTTTATTCAGTTTATCAGACCCAAAACTTGACCAAGCTATTCAGAATACAATACAGATTTGGAATACAATTTTCCAATAGTAAAAATGCTGATTCAGATACTATTCCAGGTTTAACCATGAGCTCCAATCCATCTAGCTGCTGATCACTAGATGGCATCAGGAATGCCCAATGATATATAGTGGACCTTGCAAAGGGACACAAGCTAATTCATAGTGAATTTAGTAGTGGGTTAGTTGGTGGTTATGACTCTCACTACTGTGGTGCTGTAAGGAAAGATGTTAGACAGTTATGTGTGGCTGCACTATTCCAAACGGAATAACAATAACCCAGATCAGCTATCTTGTTATTTTGAATACTGGCATAGTCATGAAAACAACATTCTTGGATTCTCTGTTCCTAGGACAAGTCCTCCATGAGATCTATAACAAGAACAAAAGACTGTAACGATGATGAATTCATATCTACAGCAAAAAACCAAGACCAGTAACAACGTTGTTTCAATAGGGTAGCACCTATCAATGATGAGAATGGATTCATCACCAATCACTGATTGATTGACACCTCTGATGACATCACTTGACACCTTATTTTAGGCAAGTGAAACAACTGACAATGCAACCCATTGATGTGATCTATTTTTAGATGATTCAGAGGGCCCCCAACCATTCAAAAGCATTCTATTTTTCCACTGCAATTCAACAACATCCATTCATTCATTCCATCTACACATCCAGATGCATTGATTTGAGCTTCCACCAGTTGCATTGATTCCAGTTTCCTTTAATATATCCGTGCTTCTAATGCATATTGAAAATTGAAGTTTTGAGGTGAATTGAGCTAATTTTGCTCACAAAATCAAGCCAAGCTGTTTGAAATTCACATTCAGGTTTTTAAGTGGTCACCAATTTAGCCAATATGCCTCCAGCAACTTGCTGTGGACCCAAGCCTCGTGGAATAAGTGGGAATGGAAGACCCCGTGGAAGACCCAAGCATGGATCCTTAGCATCCAACCTTGATTGTGATTGTGGTAGTGACTATGGATCCAGAGGAAACTCCACTGGAACCAATGATGGTTCCCATATTCCCTTGTTTCTAATGTGGAGGAGATTGTCAACTCTAATGTAGGTAATGAGGATGAGGAGGTTGATGTTGCTGATGCTAAGGATGTTGCTGAGGATGTTGCTGAGGATGATGCTGCACCTGCACCTGATATTAATGCAATGCTTTTGCAGGCTTTGGAGGTTAAATGACAGGTTTGAGCAAAGCTTTGCCCAGTTGGAGGAGGATGCTTGCAGTAGCGTTGCTCGTGTTGCTTGTGGAGGCAACTATTGCGGCAATAGCAGTGGCGCTGCTCATGTTAGCTTCAATGATGACGATGATTATGATCCAAGGAGTGATGAATCCAGTGAAGCATCCAGTGAAGATGATCTTGAAGACGACTCTGATAGAGGCAGGCTCCAAGGAATTCCAGGTTGCAAATGTGGTAGCAGACTCACTATTGATGAAGGGAATTTCTGTTGGGTGTTGTTGAGCTTGGAGATCTCTTGGGATGCAGTGAATGCTCTATTCACCAAAGGTTGGTTGTCAATGGAAAAGATTTGTGGTCGTAGCCCTCAAGCTCTTGATAACTTCTATTCAATCTTCAACAAGATCAATCCAAAGAAGTTTTGTTTGACCAAAGTAGGGTTCAACAACCTCAAGCTGGTTGTTGATTGGATTGGTTTTTGTACTCAACTTTGAAAAAGGGCACATGCTATGGATTGGCTGCAACACCTAGAACAATTGGATATGATGTTGGACAGAGTGATTCAAGAGCAGCAATGAGAGAAGTTATCCTGTCAATTCTTCCAGTTCACTCCAAACCAAGATACAACAATTCTTTTAAATCCAGCAGAACAACCCCTGGTTGCACTTCCATCAACACTCCTCGGAGGGAAGTGCCGCCCCTCGGAGCAGCTAGGAGCATTCTTTCTAACAAAAGCTATGGTTCTGGCCATAGTGCCTCTTCTAGTTCACAAGGTAAAATATAACATTAAGATTTTTTTAACAATAACAATGACAATGACAATGACAATGACAATGACAATGACAATAACAATGACAATGACAATGACAATGACAATGACAATGACAATGACAATGACAATGACAATGACAATGACAATGACAATGACAATGACAATGACAATGACAATAACAATGACAATGACAATGACAATGACAATAACAATGACAATGACAATAACAATAACAATAACAACAACGACACACTCCATCAGCCATCTCCAGCTGTTTGCCCTTTGAATGACTTTCATGCCTATCACTAAATCTAGTTCAGCTATGTGTCTTGCCTCACTCGCACCTAGATCGCACCTAGATTGATAGCACCAAGATATCTCTGTTCCAACACTGAGTAATATTCTGTTTTTCTCTTGTTTATTGATGATCGTACCAAAGGATTTTTGCGGGAAGACACTATGAAAACAAAAAGGGGTAAAGCCCCTGAACATCGAATGAAATCGCCAGAGGTAGATCCTGAGTTCGACGCATAGAACGAATCGAAAGTCCAGACACTAAACAACGACAATGGACTCGGTCTATGGACTACCATTTTGGTAGACTTTTTTGTTTTGGTTTTGCTCTGATTTCTTGGCTTCTGCAGATGGATCTGGCCAAGAGAAGCAGCTCTGCAAACAAACATGCAATGCATGTACATGTCAGCGACTACAAAGACTTGTGTAGATTGGGAAAGGCATATCATAAAGAAGGGAGAAAGAAGTATCGAACCTTACAGCTTACGGTCACAAAAAGAATGACATAAAAACAGTGAAAACAAGAAGCGGACTATTAGCTATGGTTGTCTGCACTACGATAGCAGGAGTAATTGCAGCTGGATTTATTTATTTCGTGTTCTGTTGCTTTCGAATATTTCTCCTTGGCGGGAAGTTTCAATTGTCGCTAATTTCAACTGGCGTATTTAGTCGCACCTCGATATTTTTACCTTTGGTTCGAACATCAAAGACGGGAAGATTGGACTGTTGCACGATAGTGCCTGTTATCTTCCCAATGACAGGCGGATAGGGACACCATTCTCCACGGACTTCTCCGCTTTTTAGTGCAAAGGCAGTCTTATGTAGGGGACAGACGATGCAATCCTCGCATCCATCTTCTTTAAGCATGCGCGCTATATCGTTTTCATTGGCAAAGGATGAAGATTTCCTTTTGACGGGTTTCACGTCGGTGGAAGAGTCACCAACAAAATTAGAGGACGGCGCGGCGGAGGATGTTTCGATAGGTAGTCGTTCAAGACTTCCGACTTCGAGAGGTGTACCCAAGTGGGGGCACGAATTAGCAACACAGTGAACTGCTGAACCATCCTTAGAGGCTACTAGCAGGAGATCGATCCCCCCAGCGGTGACGGCCACAATTTCTCCCGGAGATATCCGCGTCTTCGGTGCAACAACGATCCATTCCTCCCTTTTCTTTTGATCGTTTTCAAAGACTCCTGACACAAATTTCTGGGCAGCACTCATTGCATTACCAAAGCGCTGGGATTTGCTGCTTGTTACCTTATTGTCGTTCTCGTTCTCGCTCTGATCTCTGCGTTCTTTTTGTTTGATGTCTAGTTCTTTTTGGGCCACTAGTTGGCGTTGGACAACACTATTCTGTGCCCGGGTGTTGGCAGGCTTCCTAGTCGAGGATTTTGCCAACGATAGCTTCTGTTGTATTTGCTCGCGCTGCTGTTTTCGTTTTGCTTCACGCTTTTGGACCTCCAAGCGCAATTCTTCAGCATCCTTTTCCGCTTGCGCCCGTTCTGCTTTTTCTCGTTGTTTGACCTGATTTCGGAGCACCTCAGCGTCCTTTCGGATTTGGCGCTCTTCGAAATAATTTTTGACAGCAGGCATAATCTTGCTTCTTTTCTTTTCCTGCGGCTGTTGCCTTTCTTTTCTTTTTTTCTCTTTTTGATTCATCTTTATTTTCTCTTTTTCTTTTTTCTTCAACCGCTTACGTTCTTCCTTCTCTTCGTCGGATTTGAAGAATCTTCCGACAATGGGCACGCCTTTTGAATCCTCTGTATCGTCTTGTTCTATGCTCGGTTTCTTCTTGTCATTCTCTTTAAAGAAGGATCCGAAGAAAGAATCTTTGCCATCATCATCCTTGTTGTTACCAAATTCTTGTTTGCTTTTAGCAGATAGATGTGGCAGCAGATTCACATTTTCTATTTTCTTCGTAGTTTTTCTCTGCTGCCTTTCTGGGATCATGCCGCACTTACGTGGGCAACGCCCACAGTCATTCAGTACGAAGGACATTACCAACACTGGTGCATCATTTACCGTAGAGTATAGCAGGAAGAACACCATCACACAGAGGGTGACATCGAACTGAACCCTATCCCGTGGTGACTGATGAAAGGAAAATCCTCTGGATTTCCTCACTAATGTCTTCTTCGAGCAAGAGCTTGGTGATCTCCTCCTTCGCCGCCGCTGCCTAGAATTTTCCGAAGTTGCTACCTCTTTCATAGTTTCCAAACAGAACAGAGACCTTGCGGCGTGCAAAAGAATCAATATTCCAAGTCAAAATGCCAATAGTCGCACGCAACGCATATGTTCGCAGCAAACGGCGGGGCGTTCTGTTATCAAACTTCTGTATTGTTTTCTTCCACCAGTTGAGTCCGGAATTCTATGCTTTTCTTCGTTTGCTCTTTTTCTAGAGGATGTTTTTTTTTCAATTATTTATTATTTATATCCTGCCTTTCTCAAATATTACAAAGTAGTTGTACTCCTTAAACACATATCATCATCAGAGGCTGTTTTGCACTTGTGTCAACTGCAATGCTGCCAGCGACGCAAAAATTTGATGATCAATAGATCGTTGGATCGTCCGATTTCAATTTGACCTCTACCCGTACCGTATACCTTACGGATTGAAGGAGTGGTGCCGATGTCCAATCACCAATCACCTCCACCAACAAAAATCACATCGGTTCCTCCATCTCACATCATGCGTTACAATGTGGTACGTACAGTATTGTACCGTACGTAGTCAGGGCCAGGGGACCCCTCAGGGCGTCCTCCGAAGAACAATTCCCCTTCAGTCACTTCAGTTGTGAAGGAACACGCTGCAGATATGTACGGTACGTACAGTACCGTAGCGTAGGTAGTAGCCTACCGGTGATTGAATCCCAGGAAAGGATGATTTCGGGTCGTGAGGATCAAACAGGTGTCCAACACGTGTCAAGAACTTGCGCGACGATTGTTCTCAGTGCGTTCGAAAACGCGCTAGTGACGTCACAAAAATATTTTCAGTCACGATTGTTGAGTGGATCGTAATCTCATAATCAAACTTCCAAATTTTGGTAGATCTAAGGAAAAGAGAACACAGTATTCAAAACGCAGGAAAAGCGGATTTTATTTGACACAATGGGCGATCCCCGTTAATCTAGATGGTCTACTTTTTGACAGACAGACAGACCAAAAATAGACCATCTAGTCCAAATTTTTAGACTTTCTGTCAACACACAAGTCAGCCTTGACAGAAAGTCCAAATCTACTAAACCGGAATCCAATATTCTCTGTTGTACGACCCAACTGATAAGACCCGCCAAATTTGAGACTAAAAATTTTACTAATAGGAGGAGGCACCTTAGGCGCCAGCACTATGATGCTTGTCATCATTAAGGAACAGACAATGAATACGATGTCCCCTGTCTTAGTCACTGTTATTCTGTATCTTAGATCAAAACAAAAAGAGGCACAACTGCTGGAGGCCTTGTCTCAAGCACCAGGCGTTGATACAGCAAGACGTAGAGGGTGGGGTGGGATCCCTCTCACAATATTCATTTCATGAGCAAAGATGTCAACTGGTCGTCCTTATGCTAGCATTCCTCCTTGTAATGGAGACCAATTGCCTCTGCCACCACCTCTGCCAGTCCCTCCGCAAGGAGGGCAATCAAAAGTACTAGAGGGGTGGGGCTGTAAGGCCAGAACTGCAGACTATTCGGAATACGAGCTTATCTCATGATTGATGACTCTCATCAAGGAGATCCTCCCCATTGGTAAGGGTGACTGGCTCATGGTGGTTCATAGACATAGACAGAGCTATCCCTATGGTAGAACAAAGGATTCCATCAAAACCAAGTTCAATTGATTGAGAAGTCAGAAGATGCCTACTGGGAATCCAAACATCCCTGGTGAGTCTGTCTGGTTTGCATGAGAGGCTCATCACTTGATTTGGAATAAAGGCAAATATTGGTACTGGAGAGGAGACCTTTGATCCAGTCAAAGGTTACATCAATGATGAGAATGATGAGGTATTGGAAAATGGTTTAACTCCAGCAAAAGCAAGCAAATCAAGCAACATGGTCTTGACTTCTGACACAACCAACGATGACAAGCCCATTGTTGTGACAGCAACACCAAGAAGCAAGAGATCGTATGGAAGGCTGAAGAAGATAATTGCTGAATAGGATGCTGTTCTTAAGGAGTATCTCATGCAACATGATAAGAGGGAAGCTGAAAGAGACAAGAAGGCTGATGAGAGGGAGAAGGAAAGCAAAAAAAGGGATGAAGCGTGAGATGAACATTGGCTTACCGTGGCGCAAACGTTTGCCTTGACCATGGCCATGACGCTATCTGGTAACAGTATTACTATTAACAAGCGCCAACACACCCACAGTGAATCCCTTGGTCAAAGCAACTAATTCCAGTATCCCAGTTAGCTACACTTTGCACCTCTTKGGTTGGAAGAAGCTCAATATTTGGGTGATTGGATTGCTTCTTGTTTTTGCACTAAACAGATCTATTACACTGTTATACAGCAGTCATGTAGATTGAATATAGTCAATGTGTCTGACGTACTTGCAATAGCTACTTAAAGGGGTCCTTTTTTGGCATATCAATGTGATTTTACTGAGATTGTCCGTACTGCAAACAATGAGCTAGTAGTACTGGTAGTAGCTACTACTAGATAAGCAGACACAGAACTACTACCAAGGTTATGTGAACTGGGGCGCCTTGATATCATTCATCCTATATCACTACTATCACTGTTTTTGGCCAAAGCAAAGACTGGTCATTTGAATCAAGCTTTCAGAATATTTGCTTATTTGAAGTAACACAAAAAATCTACTAAGTTGGTCTTCAATGACAGCTGTCATCCTGAAATTCATGATGAACACTTCTCCAACTGTGATTGGTCTGAGTTTTATCCTGAAGCTATGGTTATGATTGTTGTTCCTCCGGTTATCACCCTGCCAATTGTAACCTTTCCTGTTGAATGGACACTTTCCATTGTGTTTTCTGCAGGGCTTTGATATTGATCTTCTTCTGTCTCTCCTCTTCATTGCCGGCGCTGTTGTTATTGTTATTGTTATTGTTATTGTTGTTATTGTTATTGTTATTGTTATTGTTATTGTTATTGTTATTGTTATTGCGTCTCCTTTGCTTTCCATTCCTTCCTCCATGTCCTGCATTAGTATCATCTGCTGCAGCTGGTCTCTTCCTTGAGCGTTGCTGTTCATCGTCTGCTATTCCTTTTTGGTCTGTCATGTATTCCACAATATCTTTGATTGTCTCACTGAGGATGTTTCTCCCACACTTAATATAGTCATTCTGCCAGGATTTGGGAAGGACCTGAAGAGAATCTTTTTGATCTCTCTTTCTGATAAAGGTTCCTGGATGCCATGAAGGATGTTGGCTCTGACACAACAGGTTTGAACTCTGTCTGCATGGGCTTCACTGGAGACTGCATGAGGCTTCCTGATAGCGTCGGATTCCAAATATTCAACAACATCACCCCTAGCATACTTGGATGGTGCATAGAACTTCCTGAAGGTAAGGAGGGCTACCTTCCATTGTGCCAAGCTGTCTCTTGATATTTCTGGTAATCTGTTGTTGTTCCACATGCTTTTCCATTTCTGTCTGGGCCTATGCGCTAGGACCATTTGCCACTTCTGATCTATTTTATCCTCCGGTATTTCCAAGTCCAATATTACATCTTCAAAGTCTTCTTGCACATGAAACAGTTCTTGTACTCCATGTTCCCCAGAGAAGGTTAAGCAGGTCTTGTTTAGCTTTCTTACTGGGTTTCTGAGATTCACGGTCATCGAGATTGATGTGTGTGTGTCAATGTTGTTTGGAAGAGGAGTTGGTGTTCTTATTTGGTTCCACCATGGTCGGTTTATTATTTTGATTGTTTTTCTTAATGGTTGATTAATTTTGATACACAAAAACCGAGTAGTAATTACAAGTACTGTGCACGAGATATGTGGTGTACTCTTAGTACTATGTTCAAGTGTGTATGTAAATTGAAAATTATAAGATTAGAATTATTCGAAGAATACCAAGCACATTCACAAGAATTCCAAAGTTCCGATTAGATMCTCATGTAGATCTGGTAGTGAATCTACATGAAGGTTCTTCTATTCCGGACTCGTGACATCTCGCTGTTCTTCGTGAGGTATTCTCGCACCTTGTATCTTGGACCTCTTAGGATCCTCAATACGATGGATCATATGATACATATATACGAATAGTAACTTATGATAGGTATGTAGGAATGGTATGTACCTTCATTCCTTTCATCGAAGAATCGTGCGTATCGATTCAATATAGTACGTACGTATCCATTGCAAGTAGGAAGTACAAAAAGTAGTACATACATAGTACTGGCAGGGGTCTAAATTATGACCCCTGTGTACTACCATTACAGGAGGAAGAAAATGCGGAACTCCAGTTAAGTACAATGTTAGTCCCTTGAGTATTAAATTCAGTACTGTAGATTACATTTAAGTACAAATTGCTGTCTGTAGGATATTAGATTGTGGATATGATTCATACCTATGATACATAAATATGATATTGTATCGCGTGGTACGGTGCGATCTTCACTTGTGTGTGTGCTTGGCACTTGCCACACGCTTTCGGAAGAGTCACCAACCAAAAGAACGTGCACATTTCGGAATTCTCTGGATATCATGATCTTCTGCAATGCTCTCAGAGGGATACGACATTCGGTACGGCAGAACGATTCACCCAACGATCCGGTTCGAGTCAGACAACCTCGTTCGAATTCACAATGTTCTATTGATGCCAATAGCATTCTTCTTTTTAGAGTCGGTTCCGCAATCCCGTGAAAGTGTCAACGGCCCCCCTTCTTGTTGATGCTGTAATTGGACTCGAAGGTGCATGTACTAGATCATGTTCAAACGGTAAACACTGACAATCAACCCATTAAGCGACTCATGAAGTCCGCATGGTTGTTGCTCTTTCGGAGGACCTCATCCAGGTCTTCATCTAGGTCATGGGTCTACTTCCTGGTCGCGCTTGCTCTGCTGTGGTCGGTGATAACGTTATCGCCACCAAGCACATGCGAAGCATTCGTTCCTCCCGGAACACCTTCCTTCTGTGGGGCAACCAATCTCCACTGGCAGAATCCACTACGTTCCAACTGCCCTACTTCGCGGAAAATATCTGATGGAAGAGGAACTGTGGTGGTCACAACCGCAAGACGTTGCTATCCAGAGGAACGGTTCGAGAGCAGTTACAAATGTTGTGACGATTGTGGTACGAATGGAAGGCAATGCAAGCCCGAAATTAAAAAAAAATGGAAGACGAATCGACAACGACTGCCGAGAAGCCTTGCCAATCCGAGCCGTCGGGATTTCGTAGCGTGGAGTTCTATTTTAGCAGGCATGGCACCGGGTGCATTCGCAGCGTCGAGCGCTACTGCGAGCGATACACTAGTCGGCAGTAGTAAGGATGCCATGAAAGCGTCCGGGAATGCCATCCAGAGCAGTAGCTACGCGTTGTCAAGCACATATAACGAGTTCGCGCCGTATTCTTCGGTGCGGCAGTACAAGAGCATAAAACTTCTCAAGAATGGGATGAAGGTGCTCCTGGTCAGTGACAAGAGGGCGAGACAATCGAGTGCCGCTCTCACCATCAACGGTGCGGGACAATTTTCCGATCCGACCTACCTCAACGGATTAGCCCATCTTATGGAGCACATGGTGCTTTCTTCGAAAGCGGGATCTTCCTGGAGTAATCAGGGCGATTTTCAGGAATGGCTCGACGGAGACTACGCAGAGGGCTTTAGCAATGGCTTTACGGCGTACGAAAAAGTCTGCTTTCATTTTCAGTGCGAGACTGGTGCCTTCGCGGAAGCCCTTGATCGATTTTCGACTTTGTTTCTGGACAAGGTCATCGCCCAGACCTGCCAGAACAAGGACACCATCCGGCGCGAAATAAGAAGGGTCAGCTCCGAATTGGATAAGAATGACCTATTCTCGAGAGAACTCTACCTCACGAAGAGCCTCATCAACCCGAAACATCCCTATTCGAGAGTCACACTAGGGAGCATCGAAACACTCGAAACTCTGCCGGAGTTAGCGGACATTAACGTGTCGAATGAGCTCTATGACTTTTACAAGAACAACTATCGACCAGATCAAGCGATATTAGTTGTTGTGAGTTCTTCCTCGCTGACGTCTCTAGAAAACATGGTGCAGCCCTTTTCGGGGACCATGTTGCAGGAAAAAAAGGAAGAAGGCAGCAGCGTTGGCAGCAGCACTGACGAAAAAGGGCATCAGGAACAAAACGAGCATATCGTGGGCAAACAGCAACAGAAGCAACAGCAGCAGCAGCAGCAGCAGCAACAACAACGAATATTTCCGCCATTTTTGCTCCCGGGAAAACCAATTGGTCCGATTTGTTTGTTTCGAGGAAAGGTTAGCAACGAAATTCTAGCGGACAACCTTGAAAAGATTTCCTTTCAGTGGGCATTAGACCAAGATTACGCAGGTCTAAAGCAACGGATGGCGAGCAGTGTAACGGCCACTCAGATTGGATTTGTAATGGCCGAAATTCTTGGACGGCGCGGACCCGGCTCGCTCTTTCGGCTGCTAAAAAAGCGACAATGGCTACCGGAGGGAAATCGGGGGGTTCCGAGGATTTCGTTTCCGGTCGACGTATCGGGATTTCAGATCATGAGGTTGGAGATCATTGTGAGTCTGACGGGATTTGCCAAGCGATCCTCTGTTATTGCTGCAGTATTTGACTATCTTGGATGCCTGAGGTCAAATCCTCCCGGTAGAGAACTGATTGCTCAGTATTGCGCCGTAGCGCAGCTGTATGGCCATGTCCTGGCGCCGAGGCCACCTGATGCGATCGAACTCGCCTTTGATGGGCAGGTATATGGCATTGATGAACCAAATGGGGTGGGCGGCTACGATTGGCGTCTCATGCCCATGCCAGAAAATTTACTGGGGGTTCAGAATCTCCAAAAAACGATACAAACCGTCCTGAACTGGATCAGCGACCCATCCAATGCCATCACTATCATGACGGCATCTCAGCGTGCCATTCTATCCCAACATGCCAATGATCTAGAAGAACGATTTCCGTTGTTTTCTCCGGCTAGCTGGAATATCTCGCCTACTACACAGGCACGATATCTTCCACAGAACAACGTTTTGACAGGGAAAATCAATGAATGGCTTATTACTCGCATGAGTTCGGAAGGTCTGCAACCTCCGGTACTCAATCCTTTGATTCCGCCCTCCTTGAGACCACCGAGACTAACCCCCAGCCTCCATAGAAGCACTATTAGTAATTACGAATCATCACAGAAAGGCGATATTGTTCCACCCATCAGGTCCCTAGTGGAAGACACCATTGATCAGGAAAAGGCACCCCTGGTCCGTGATTATTGGGCACTATTGAAGGTCTACTCTCACGACGATCCTTTTCCCCCTGGAATCTCCCTCCCTCGAGCACCGCCCGAGCCATCCTCTCGCTCCCTCTTTGTCATGCAGCTCCTGTCTTCGAGGCCACCAAGGGCAACCGCTGAAATGGCGGCCCATGCCGAGGTGTGGCGGATTTCGCTTGAGTATGCACTGATGGACCTAGCCGAACTCGGGGCTCCAGCCGGGTTGGCATACGACATAAGCTACAACAAGTACGGGATGCGCGTTGCGTTTCTGGGACTAAGCCAGAACATTGCCTCGTATGCACGCCGGATCAGTCGCCGCATGGTAGATCATACCAACCAGCTGTTGGAGGGGCCTGAGCAGGTTCCCGAACCGATTATCGAGGCAGCCATTCGCAACACCAACCGATTTCGCATGTCTCCTACGCGCAAGGCAATCGTCACGAGCACGCTGAAGCAAACCACAGCTGTGGATGCGGCATTAGAGGGAACCCGTTTTTTCCAGTCGTGCAGTGGAGCGGTTTGCTTCTCTCAAGGAGACCTCCTCGCAGCCGAGACCCTTTCACTCCTGGCCGATTTGAAGGAAATTTTTCGCAAGACGACTGGAATCAATGTGCGTCCCGCTCCAGCAGTCCCGGAAGTAAGCGATCTGCTCTATAGAGCGAATTGGATCCCCAGGGCGGCCTCAGTGTGCACTGTCACGGGGTCCAGCCTGATTTCGTATCCGTGTGGGAGGGTTCCGCGCTGATGTCAAGGAGGTTCGGAATACCTAAAGGAATAGCTAAATGGTACAGAACCCAACTGAGCAATTAGAACCAGCCATGCCTTTTCGAGAGCAGTGAGGATTGGATTTCGCTGTTATCATCGGTACGGGTGTCAGTGACCAAGGCGGTTCGAGACTTTTCGGAATTTTAGGGGTCAGCTGCAGATATGACCATCCCTCCCGATGTTTCCCTGTGGCTGTGGATATTCTCAATACATTTATTTTTTGAGTCTTGTCACAAAGCTACTAAAATCACTGTACTGAGATGCTGAACGAACGAGGAACGGGGTTTCTTGGCTACACCAAAACTAGTGAGTACGTTTATGTAGTAAAAACGGTGTTCTTGAGGTTCTTTTGCCATTTTGCAACCATCTTTTTCCGATGGAGGATTTACTTGGGTTGTTTTCTTGCGGCTCTCCTTGTCGGTGATTTAATTGTGTCGGATGTGGGAACGTAAGGTTGACGGCAATCTTTTTCAAAGTTACATATGATCAATGTGTCTTTTTCTGGTGGTTGAAAGAGATAAACATTTTTTGTTTTGTGATCGATCAAAGCATCGTACTACAATAACATTATTAGTAATAGATTCAAGTACGTACGTTAATAATTTCTTTCCCTTAGAAGAACTGGCATCACAAGATTGGTTCAGATGGAAATTATATGGGGCAGGACAGATGTACCTTCAATAAGAATTTCATGTACTCAGTGTTATCATTCAATCTCTTGCTTTCTTTAGGCTTCCTCCTGTTAGTCCTATCTTTCCATTTTTTATCATTTCTTACTCTAGAACAGTACTCACTCCTTCCAAGCCCAAACCACTCATAATTGTGGTAGTTACTGTGACAGGATGGGACCTCCATTGGAATCCCTTTTCTTTGAATGAGTATTGCTGGTAAAGTGGGACTCCAGATAGTTTGCACAAGCTGCTGTAAGTATTATTACCACACATGTAACAAATGTTTCTGCTCCTTGACTTGGTTGGTGCTGTTGCTACCAAATGTCGTTATACTCAGTCTGAGTGAAGCAAAATCTTCCATTTAGTTGTTGGTTCTCTGCAATAGTCTGCATATTGTATTATCCAAGAAACTTGCCATTGCTAAGGAAAGTCTTACATGCTTTTCTTCTAGTTGCTCTTCCACTTTTAATCCTTTGACCACCACTAGAATTAGAGTTGTGATAATTCTGACTTTGGATTGACCGTGGTTGGAAGTTACTCATGTTCCCGTGCTCATCCACGTCACAGGAGTAAGTTCCCGGCGTGAACTTCTTGTTGTTGTTATTTCCATTTGTATTGCTCTGATTTCCCCCAGTGTTGT